AGAGAGAGAGAGAGAGAGAGAGAGAGAGAGAGAGAGAGAGAGAGAGAGAAAGAGAAAGAGGATGCATATGTAGCAAAAAAGAAGAATGAAAAAAGAAGACAATGAAATGCAGGCGGTACTCACATGATGCACAGTCATCGGTATTGATGATGCAATCACGGCCCTCGTAGCCCTTCGCGCACACGCAGTGGTAAGAGCCGTTGGTGTTCCGGCAAGTGGCACCGTTTCTGCACGGCGACGTCATCACGCACTCGTCTACGTCCTCGTCGCACAGCCTGCCCGTGTAACCGACCGTGCACGTGCACGCGAAGTCGAGGAAGTTTGACGACGGCGAGCACTTCGCTCCGTGGAGGCATCTGAAATGACATGTTGATGTTGTGAAGTCGTTCTACTATTCAGATCATCTATACGGGCAGCACACTTTGTCATCGTGCGCGAAAAATTTAATGGAGCTTCTCGAGAGAAGCCCTCGCGAAAGTGATTGATTGAACACGCGACGCTGTTAGACGCTGTTAGACGAAGTCACTGTGAGCCGCGAGCAAGTTGGGGGTAAAATGATGATTTTACAGGCGATTAGTGTCTTGAGATTTTGTGAAACAGATCGCCCAAGTACCAACTTTGCAGCTTCCAAAATCTACCGTATCAGATTTTGATTCTTTGAGTCGGAGTAACATTGTAGCCAGAATTCGGCAAGATTGTCGAACATTTCGTCTATGACTGACGATATTAGGTGGAATAAAAACAAATCAATATACTAAATCTAACATTTTTAAGTTTACATTTAAGACGATTGCTAACAAAGTACGATGTGGTCTAAATGTGTAGATGAAGCTCCTTGGCGATATCGGTCGTTCACAGCGAACTTGAGTGCACATACTCAATGCGCCTACTCAAAAAAGATATACAGATACACAGATACAAAATACAATATTCAAAAGATTAAGGCTCCTGGGGAGTCGTATCATCCATCTCTTTTTAATGACGTCAGAAGCGAGAAAACGCATGCTAAAAATTCCTGCAAAATACGTCGAGATAAACAGATATATCCACAAAACGACATTTGCGATCGATTAAGTACACCTCTAAAATACTCCGTACACTTTCCTTTTGTTCTAACAATCAACAGATAATTATAAAATAAATGTGACGTGCAATCGTCTTTTCTAACCTAATTTCCTCATTATCTTGTCATATTAATTTTCCGATTATCTATTGATTTTTAGAACAAAAGGAAAGTGTACGGAGTATTTTAGAGGTGTACTTAATCGATCGCAAATGTCGTTTTGTGGATATATCTGTTTATCTCGACGTATTTTGCAGGAATTTTCTTTAGCATGCGTTTTCTCGCTTCTGACGTCATTAAAAAGAGTTGGATGATGCGACTCCCCAGGAGCCTTAACCCTTACAATCCGAAAAATCACTATAGTAGCGAGAGTGTCATATCTTCTACCAATTTATCTTTTGGCGTATTCAAAAAAATTCTAGTCCAAAGGTTGTCCAAAAATCACTCAAAAGACCTCCTAGACTGTAAAGGTCAACCTAAATTTCTTCAGAGTATAGTCTGAGCACTTTGGTCGCCGAGACCAAAAGCTGAACAACGTAATTATACACTCTTCTCTACGCGAAGAAGATTCTTCTCTCCCGAATGAGCGAAATGCGGAAGGAGACCGTACTTGTTCGGCGAGCAGGGGTCCAACTTCTCCTCGCAGTTCCTGCCAGTATGGGGTAGCTCGCAGACGCACTTGTAGTCGTTGACAAGGTCGATGCACGAGCCGCCATTCTGGCAGGGGTTGTTCGCGCAGTCGTCGATGTTGGTCTCGCAATTGGTGCCGGCGTAGCCGGGTAGGCACTTGCAGCTGTAGCCGTTCAGGTGGTCGTTGCACGTGCCGCCGTGTTGGCAGGGGTTCGAGCCGCACTCGTCGATGTCAGCCTCGCATCGCTTGCCGCCGTATCCCGGCAGGCAATGGCAGATGAACTGGTTCACGCCATCCTCGCAAGTGCCGCCGTGCATGCAGGGATTGCTCGCGCACTCGTCCACGTCGCTCAGACACCTGGCGTCGTAGTAGCCGCGCGGGCATTCGCACCTATAGCCGTTTATCACGTCGATGCAGCGGCCGCCGTTCGCGCACGGATTGCTGGCACACTCGTTAATGTCGGTCTCGCAGTGCTGGCCGGTGAAGCCGGGCTCGCACGCGCAGGAGTACCTGGAAGACGAGACATCATATCCACTGAGAACGGAAGGGTGCGTTTGGTGGGATGTTAGCGCACGAGTCATGGATTTTGCCAGATTGTGTGTCCGCACTTCCGTACTGCCTTTTCGCATGTCTCCGTGTTTTTCGTCGCGCCCCCCGAGTAACCCCGACGTGCTGTTGTGATGAATCCATCAACGAGAGATCGCCTCGCGGTAGAATCGCGAAAAAATCGATATCTCGGCGATCATTTCGACGGGACACGTCGGAGCTGTGTGAATCTACTATCGTTCATGTTCACGCTATTAACATTCATGTCGATCGCGTAGGCTGTACAGTCCTTCCTAATGATAATTTTGCCGAATTCTGAGTAGGTCGAGGTAATTATCTTTTGTACATATCGCTCTGATCGCCTCTTCAGGAATCGCGTATCTCAGCAGAACAACTCTCTCTTTAACCCATTAACAGTTAGTACACTTGTGGACTATCCTTCCTTCCTATTGAGTGAATTCATTTGATTAATATACGATTATAATTTTAAGTCTTGACGCACGCATTTAATTTTCAGTTATGCCTATGTCTCCAGTCAAAATAGCTCTAATGCCAATATTGAAATGTGTCTAGGAAACAAATAAACCTTTAATTAAAAATGTTTGGAAAATAATGATGGTCTTTAATGGATTAAGAGGGACACCGGAATGATCTTGTAATGACCAAAAGATCCCATGTTGCCCCAATTATCTGCTATTCAATTCCGGAAGAGTAGCAGAGGTCCGGCGATCACCATCTCGACCATCAACTTCACGCACGCCAAGTTCCTCAAGCTTACCCGTTAATACCGTCGATGCACCTAGCCCCGTTTCGGCAGGGGTTGCTATAGCACTCGTTCACGTTGACCTCGCAGTTGATGCCGGACGTGCCGGGTCGGCAGATACATTGGTAACCATTGACGCGGTCCTCGCACAAAGCCCCGAACTGGCAAGGGTTGCTCGTGCACTCGTCGATCTGCATTTGACAGAGCGGGCCGGTAAAGCCGGCGTAGCAGCTGCAGGTGAAGTTGTTCTCGCCGTCGATGCAGATGCCGTTGTGGCACGGATTCGATTGGCAGTCGTTGATGTTGGTCTCGCAGGAGGCGCCGGTGAAGCCGGGCGGGCAGTCGCACGTGTACCTCGCGATGCCATCTTGGCAGAAGCCGCCGTTCTTGCACGGCGACGAGGCGCAGTCGTCGATGTTGATCTGGCAGTGGGTGCCGGCGAAGCCGTCCGCGCAGGTACACTTGAAGGAGTTGATGAGATCGGTGCAGGCGCCGCCGTTCAGGCACGGCTTCGCTGCGCATTCGTCTATGTCGATCTCGCATTGCGTGCCAGTGAAGCCTGAAAGAAGAAGCAGAATACGATGTCATTGCACGTAGGAGGAACAAGTCCTGTAAGATTGTTATGTTGTAACACTATAATATTAAATATCAATATTATAATATTATCAGATGCGATATACAAGGAAGAGAGAGTTGTCGAAATCATACCGGTCTCCTGAGCCTCGTACTTCATCAATTTCGATCAGCGATTTCGGCAACTCTCTGTCCTAATAGAAGATGAATAAACGAGCAATGAAAGATAAACATACTGAGATACGGAAGTGTCAGTATTCAAGAATTTGAATACTGACTTTACGACTTTGATAAGTAATGGTACAATTAGATGATTCGTATAATTTGTGCAATTTCTGTAACACTCCATAAATAATATGTAAAAATTTCTCGCAAGATCGACTGTCAGAGCTGAAACGTGCGCTTTTATAAGGGGACCGATCGCGGGCACGTCAGGTAAGTGCCAGGTATAGAGTCGTCACTGCCACAACTGACGTAATTAACGTTAATCAGACAGCTATCGATGGACGAAGGGTATATGAAGATGCCGAAGAGTATACGATCGACGTTGGACGGAGGAAATATCGCTAATTGCACGTTTGATCGATCGACCGGGCGCTGCTTTTTTCCGCGGTTTTCTTGCCGCGCCAACGACTCCGGAATGTTCCCTCGACGGGCAATAACCGCATCAATTATCGGGAGTAATTAGGGATATGGCAGATGGCGATTGTTTCGAGGAAGCCGCCGCGCCAGTCCAAAGGCGATCGCCTCCCGCGTATAACCGTCCGCGAAGAGGACCCATCTCGATCGAGGGGACGACGACTAAATATCGATTACGATGCGCATCAGGTATGAGGAGAATCCCGAAAAGATCGCTTTCCGAGAAGCTGAATTACCGAAGATTGAAGTCGCCAAAGCGACCCTCGCCGAGGCTGATATTAACGTCAACGTCATTTTCCCGAAGAAATATGGAATAACGACGACATCGTTAAATATAATAATCAGTTGATCGAATTATCTCAAAGATTAATATAATTTTTTTTTCAAATAATTATTGATAATTTCGATTTCCAGGGACATTTTCCTAGTAATCATAAATTTACGGTTTTTTGATCATTAGTTTGATGATTCAATAGGTTGGTCTCATCACTTTTAATGATTTTAGAATTTAAATCGACATTATTAAAAAAAAAGTGAGATAATCTAGTGCTTGATTATTTTTAGACTAATTTTTACTGTCCCACACGAAAAAAAGATTTGGTTGAATTAACCAAATATTTAGTCGAATATGAACGATCCAGAAATTTCGATTGAAGTAACTCAAATTCTGTTTAAGTTAATAAGATTTTTAGTAGACTAACCAAACATGTCTAATTATTTAACCAGACATGTCTGGTTAGTCTACCAAAAATTTTATTAAACAGAATTTAGGTTACTTCAATCGGAATTTCTGGATCGTTCATATTCGACCAGATATTTGGTTAATTCAACCAAATCTTTTTTTCCGTGAGTAATTTCTAACAGCCAAATTAATTGGAGAGTTTCTTAAATTCCTTATTAATTTTATAAATTATCAATTGAATCGGTAGGGGAAAAGAAAGGATATGGGATGATGAAATCGATGAGATTAAAGGGAAAGTGTTAAAAAGAATGTGGAGGGAAAGGGAGAGTAAGATCAAAGAAAAAGAAAGAGAAAGAGAAAAAGAAAAAGAAAAAGGATAAAGAGAAAAGAGGTAAAGGAAAGAATAAAGAGAGAGGAGAATTTAATGTGATGTAGATATAGGTAAAGTATGGAAGAATGGAAAAGGATGGAAGAATGGAGGATGTGTGGAATGTGTGATTTAGTTATTTTTATGTAAACCAAGTCCCCTTCTTGGCTATCTATTTAATGTATATAGCTGAATGGTAATAAAATATATATAAATTATCAATTGAATCAATATTTATTAGTTTTAATGATCTCCCGTGTATTGTGGTCTCATCATTGGAAGGCATTGCGCATTATCCCGATTGACCCCGCATTTATCGTGAAAACCGTTTAGCATCTCGTTTACCATGAAAATCGCGATGTCGCAACGCGCTGCTTCCGCGGGCTATTCCTGGCGACTCCTGCACCAGGTGGTCTTAATGACTGCGGCACTCCCTCCCCCTCTTGCCAACATCGCGCTCATAATACACGCTCATTCATACACAAATTCAACCGGGCGAATGCGCGCACGGTGTCGCCGTTGCGTCGCGTTGTAATGCAAGGAGTCGCAAAGGGAGAGAAGAAGACAAGGGGATGGGAAAGGAAGAAGAAGCGGCAGTGGCAATAGTAGCAGCAGCAGCAGCAGAAGGGGCCGGATGCACGCACGCGACGCGTTCTCGCCGCAGGTGGTCTAATTATGTTGTATTGGAGGATAATCCTGACGAAGCGAGGCAGCCGCCGTTCGGAAATTATTTTCGCTGCACGCGTCCCCCGGTATGCTTCTCTCTCTAGCCGTCGCTAGCTGAAGCCCACGGTGAGCCGGGGGCTCGCTCGTTTAAATCAACGTAACGAAGCCGTGTATCACGTGTGCCACGTCGTTCGTCAGAAAGAGCAGCGAACCGCGTCGAGCAAATACGCAAAGTAATCTCTTACGTTACGCCGTGCATCCATAATGCGGAGTATCGGCTTATGAAGCATCGTCGAGGTCTGACAGAGAGAAGCGATCGATAAATTTGAACGGCAAAAAATATCCGTGCATTGTATCCGCGGTCTGGCGATGTCTAAACTGGGAGAACAGCGAAAGGGGATTCTCTCATTTCCGTTCGCAAGACTTTTCGATCCATCCTCGTAAGTTACATTCAGAGGCCGGTACTTTTATTCATAGAAGAGAATTCAGAATGAAGACCAATGTCATATGATATCAAAGTGGCAGAAGGTGTCGAGGTATTTTAAAGCAGTGAAAATGGAACTGTCACCGTAATAATTTACACATTCTTGGGTTTGTTTCGCGACGTTTCTCGCGCGTAAGCTCGAAATGCGAAAAGCGAGGAGCGCGAGTTTTCAAGCGCCGAACAGATCGATGAGCGATTTACGGGCCCGATAGCGAAGGATGATCGTGCGGAGAAAGGGAGAAAGAGGGAGAAAATGAGAGAACCATGTCACGAGGGATCCCGTCGTCACGTCGCCTCCAAGAGGAACATTCCCCCGGTCCTCGTCAACCGGATGACGCGCGGATTTTTATCATATTTACATTCAGCCGAGATTTCTTTTTTCTCTGCTCGGCGCGCAGACAATGATGCAGCTAATTCACTTGTGAATGCACGTACGAGAATGCGGCGGAGGATCTTCCTTGGCTGCTTCCTCTCGAATCCCAAAGCCTCCCCTCGACGCGTGAATCACGCGCGCGGTGCGCGACGATTTATCGTCGTGTCGAACGTCATCGCGACCTTTTCTTGCGTTATACGTCCCGAGGAAATTATACAGACGTGACATAATTGATCTCGCAAGCGGAAGAGTAAATTTCGCGAGTCAAGTGGCGCGGTGCGAAGAACCGTCTCGGAGATAAAAAGAGCACTCGATTGTTTTCGTTCCAAGAGATGTCCAGCGAATTCGCGCGGATGATTTCTCGCAACAAACATCTCCTCGCACACCGATTCGCTCTTTTCCTCTTTAATTGCGCTCACGTCGGAGCAATCGTAACATTTACCCGTCAGCGACGGGCAAAGTTGTCAATACAAATGAACGGATGCGCGAAGCCGCTGCAATTAAACTCAAATCGAGCCGCTCGATTCGCTCGGACGCGGGGCGCTATTATTATCAGCTTCTTCTAGAACACCGTGAAGACATTAATTTGCTCTCTCGGCGTCCGACCGGACTTCTGTCGAGTGATGCCGAACGGAGCGAGCAGATATTCCTCTCTCGCGCAGCGTCTCCTCCTTTTTTTTAGCTCCTTCTGCATGCATCCCGTTTGCCACGCGCGTCTAGCTCGGTTCGGGAGCTCTGGTATTATCCTTCGGCGAGCGGACGTATCCTGCGATAGACGCCGTCGTCCACGCCTCCCGTCTAATGCCCGTAATGCTCACTTGTCAATCCTTTCCGCGGACCAAATGGATAGTTGCCGATTCATAAATATCGCGTTGCGCCATCGATCCGCCGCCTGTCCGGGCGAAACCGGTCGGGTCCGTCGTTTTGTTGCGCGCGATCGAAATACTATTTATTAAAGCCCGCGTCTAAAACAACCGCGGGATACTCATGTCGTCTGCGCCCGAAGGTCTTTTTACGTTGTCAGATAAAAATAGAATGCTGCATTTCGTATACATTGCTTTCTTTATGCACGGCATCTCGCAGGCGAACAACGCCGGTGCCACACTGAAAGAAAAGACTGGTAACTATAACAAACTGCATTTAGTTACAGAAATTCATTGAATCCTTAGTAACTAATACTAAATATGATAATAATTACCAAATATTTAATAGATCGGGAGTATGACGTAATTGCATTCACAGTAACATCAATTAAATAATTTAGTAATAGTTACTTAATATTAAATATTTAATATGAAATATATTACAGTTATGAACAGATATTTGATAATTGTTATGAAATCGTTATATCCCATATAATAAAAAATTCAGTAAGTACGAGTTCTATTTTGTTACCAGTATAAGTATGTTTTGTTGCAGCACAACGAAAAATTCATTCATTCATTTGCAGCTATTACATCGTTCCAATATCTATTATAACATAGATAATTGGTTGAACCTATCAAAAATTTTGTAACTATTACAAAATCGCTTATTTTGCTCAACTATTCAATAAGTTTTATTTACCAAATATATTCTGGAAGCAAATAAATTTTACTTCTATCAAATAAATAATTTATTTTACAGAACTAAATTAATTAATAAGTATTGCCATAGCTTTGGCCCGCTATATTTATGTCTACCATTTAGTAATAGTAACCAAATTTTGATAATATTTACTAAATTCTTCTCTCAGTGCAGAAACAAAGTTCTTCTTCATTTTCTTTTTAATAGGA